AGCACCGTCTAGTTCTTCTGGTCTCATAGTCGTACAGGCTGCAGATCGGATGTGTTCCAGTCGCTAGGAGTGATTGTTTCCATGAATTAGATGTATTCTTATAGTTCCACATATCCATGGGGTTCTGTTCACTTTCATTTCGAGTTGTTCAGACTGGCCAGTTTCTATCGTTCTGTCTCAAAGTTCATAGATTCCTTTCTTTGTCCTCTTCCTTCTGCTGTTGAAAATTCTTTGTACCTTCAATTTTTTGTTTTTTGCTAAGATTTTGTTTTTTTCCTTTGTTTCAACAGTACTTGTCATTACTTGCTGAAGCATTTCTTATGATGACTACTTTAAAATCATTGTCAGATCATTCAGAATCTGTCATCTTGATGCTGGCTATAAGTTGCTTACCATTTCTCATTCTGTTGGATACGCTGGCTGGCTTATTTTTTTTTTTTTTTTAGAAAGACACCAGTACATTCTCTGAATGAAAAAAGTTTTAAATGTTCTCAGTGTACAATTTGTCTCATTACACTTTGTGTTACAAGGATGTGACCGTTACAAATTTATTCTCTGGGTGACCATAAAGTTTTTCACACAAAAGTACATGAAGTCAAAAGAGCTTTACATGGTATCCAATTCAGGTTTGTGTTACAAGAATGGGAAAATTCTCAACTCATTCTTTAATTAAAAAAATATTTTAAACAGAAGACAAAGAGTAGTACAATGAACTCCCATGTGCCTATAACCTAGCTTCAAAAAGATATAGTTGATTCTTGGTATGAAGAGTGATTTTCAATTGAATCCTGATCATTTTGGGTGCTATGTTATTCAAGTCTGGATCTTTCTTAAATCTTGTGTTACCAGGTTTCCTCTAAAACCACTCAAGTGTATGAAAGGGGAACCCTGCCTCATTACTGCCAGGTGGGAATGAAAGCCCAGGTTTCATATTAGGCCTCCAACGATAAGACTCTGGCTGGGAAAAGGTATGGGACTTCATTACTCCATGCCATGTGGCCTCCAAGGAAACTGTGCAGATGGGGTTGTCTTGTTAATGCTGAGCAGTGAAAATGGTCAAAGCCCAAAGTCTCCAATAGGCCTTTTCTGACACCATCTGGGGTGGGTGAGAGGGGACATTACCACAAAGTAGGTGTGAAAGTCCAAGTTGCCCACTTTGTGTCTACTGTGAAGATGGGGCTGTTACCACCCAGCAGAGATTAAAGTCTCAGCTCTCCATAAGGCCTTCTACCACCCTAGCAGGTGGGCTGGGGTGCTTTGTTACAGCCTGGCGAGGCTAGAACTCTAGGCCAAATCTCTGCCTTTGCTGGCAGGGGTGGGGTACAGGGGTGCCCTTTTTCTGTGGTGTTCAAATGGAGCAGAGTTGTTATTGTTTAAAGTTTTACCTTGCTAGGCTATCTTTTTTGGTACTTTGGCTAGCGAAAGCAGGTTTTTTTTTTTTTTTTTTTTTTTTTATGTCTATACCTGTTCGTGTTTCCTGCTTGCTGGCTTCTCAATCACCCAGTCTGGGATATATGAGAAAAAATGTCATTCTTTGGGTTCCAAGGTCTCTAGCTAGTCTGCCTTCTTCTCTCCATCTTTCAGCGTCTTCTTATGTTTGTTTTATATATAATGTTCAGGGTTGTACCTTACTATCTTCTTGTTAGTTACTGTGGAGTTGATTCTGGCTCCCGTCAGCTTCACATATGCAGAGTAGAACTGCTCCCTAGGATTTTCAAGGCTGTAACCTTTTGGAACTAGATCACCAGGCCTTTCTTCTGAGGTGCCTCTGGGTGGATTCCAACTGCCAACCTTTTGGCTAGCAGTTGAGCATGTAACCATTTGCACAGTGTCACTCTTATGTTTTCCTTTCCTTGTTTCCTTAAAACTGACCTTACACTGGTTAATAAACGGTACACCCAGGTATTCTGACTACTTTGTCCTGCATCTTTCTACAACTTGGCATTAGTTTTACTTTAAATAAAATGTACAGAAAACATAAAATCCAGAAAGGATCGAAAGAGTAATATTTTAAAAAAATAGGGTTCTTGATAAATAAAAATTCCTAGCTTCTGCTTCCCACAACACAGCTACAGAGAAGAATGACCCTTGTTCTTCAACACAGCTAAGTACAAACAGGACACAGAATTTAAACACAGAGAAAATATATGCATGATAATTAGGACAAGAAGGTACTATTGCAGTCTTTTAAGGCATCACTAACCTTGAATACAGTGGTTACAGTCCTCACGGTAATTCAGTTTTTAAAACTCTGTCAAAGGTAAGAATCAATGAAAGAGAAAGTCTAGGTAAAGCACAGAAATTGAGTTAGCATACAAATCGAAGCATTAAAACTTACAACTCCTCTTCTGCAGGAAATTGCTAAGGCTTTTCCTTGGTCCCCCTATGAGCATAAAATCAATTTGTAACTCACAGTGGTGGCCTGGACAGCATTTCACTCAATATAATTTCTAGGTTGAGCACTGAGGTCAAGCTCGTGCAGAACCAAAAACCATTAACAGGGATGGCAGCTCATTCTGTGCCAGGGCCATGGCAATGCCACAGGATTCTATTTGGGGCCAGTGGGCTGGACTCAGTACTCATGAGGTTGTAGTTGAAAACCAGGACATTCAGACTCTGCTCTGTAATTTGCACCTTGGTGACCTCACCATGATTGTAACTGAAGGAAGAGCAGTTGTACCATTCTTATCCCTGCAACCAAAAGGAGTCACGTCTCAACCATGAACCAATCCCTCAGTGCAGGGGCACCATAATCTATCCACCCACCAGTCCCTTTCTAGGAAAACTTCACTTTCCTCTTGTCCATTAATGTGCTTAATTTAAAGTTCACACAATTTCCCTGGATGCATTACTCCTTTCCTTAGAGTGAGCTGGACATAGCCTTTCTTCTCCTCTCCCTAGAAAATACAAATACTTTATGAAATTCATGGAGAAGAAAGTCAAAACAATGAATCTTACAGAAGAATTTCTGGTATTAGCAGGTAATTGTTGTGTTAGCTGCCAGTGTAGGCCCACGTACAATGGAACGTACAGTCTTACGGCATCTCCATTATCAGTTGCAGATAGGACCATTGTGAGCCCCAGGGTTTTCACTGACCGATTTTAGAAAGGTCTTTTTTCCTAGTCTATCTTAGTCTAGAAGCTCCACTGAAACCTGTTCAGCATCCTAGCAACATGCAAGCTGCTGCTAGCTGACATGTGAGAGCTGTGGATGAAGTGCTTCTGCTGGGAATTAAACCAAGGTTTCCCAAATAGAGGGCAAGAACTTACCATTGAACTACCAATAGTTCTAGCAAGTAATCAGGGAAGAGAATTCTGAACTCTAGGGTGGTCAGATACTCCCAAATGACACTGCACAGCTTAGCTCCACAAAATTCCCAGCTCTCCATGTCTACGTTCCTTCTTCAGTGTTTGGGGAGACCATTAGTAATTCAAAAAATAAGTTTCTTGGGTCTGTTCCTCCCCCTTGGTCTCCTTATCAGTCAACGGTCTATCACTTCTTTTAGACCAAAATAATAGAAATGAAAAATCACCTTTGATTGTTCCTTTTTTCTGTCACACCATGTTCAACCTACTGCTAACCCTAACGGTGTTGCTCTCAGCTCTAGGTTGGCTTTAGGGGAACTTTCATATTCAAGAAACAAGACCAGAGCTTCCCTGGCTCAACCACTCTAGAGATTCTGATTTGAAAACATCCAACTGAAAAAAAAACAAAACAAAAAAACCCTAAAGTGATTCTAACGGACAAATCTAGCTTATACTATAAACAACAACACATTTTTTACTGTGTTCTGGAAGTAGGTTGTCACAGGATCTTCCATTTTCATACACAGAAAAAAGGGTGCTGCCTACTGCCTACCTTTCTGATGCCTTTAGCTCCTTAGTATGTCTTCAGGTTTTTGTCTCTATCATGCACACCCCATTTACATGGAAAATGTGTTACTTTAACTTACATTGCTATTCGCCTATTTATTAGAAAAGGAAAAGTTCTAATATAAGCTGTGGAGAAATTCTTTTAAATCAAAAGCTCTCAAAATTTTCACCCAGTGACCCTAGTGCACGATCATTTTCTATAAGCCAAATGATACTCCTTTTTCTCCTTCTGGTCTTTGTTGCCAGTGATGGACCCAACATGTTTCTAACCTGGGTAGCTCAAGATCTGAAAACTTTTCCACACAGAAATTAATATTATATGCACAGATCTGGCCCAAGTAACATGAAAATCTTTTAAAGAGCTACACATCAAACTATGTATTATATGAACATGGATACTTTCAGAACATTCTTTTAAACTAAAGTCTCCAGTATTTTTCTCAGCAATCCAATGATGCACCAAGCAAAGCAGAAAACCAATTTTTAAAACTAACAGTCCATGACTGGTTTGTTTCAATATTTTATTAAAATAGCATATTCAACCACTGTTAACCAAGAATACGTTAACTATTTTTCCCCCCAGAACACATAGCACGACACAGTAGTGATTCCAATATCCTTAATCATGGTAACCAACAGAAGTATTTCAAAGTCACGTGTGCAACTAAAAACTAGACCTTGGAAAAATTCTGAATTGAAAGAAACATAAAGCTCTCAAACAGAATTCTTTTATCAGCCTGAACAATAAATGCCAGTGCTCCATCCAACTGACAACACTGCTAGTTTTCTCTTTTCTTTATGCATAGTATAATGTCTCATTTATAAGTACCCACTTTTATAAATAAAATTGGCATTTTTTCATTCCATTTAATGTTCCTTTTCAGCTTCACAAAGAAACCAGTAAATAAAACTGTCAATGACAGTCACAACATATGCTCTCACAGCAAGATAAAAAACTTGAAAATACGCAAAGATGCATCTACCCTATTTTACATAAAAAGAGAGATTTAAAAAGTGCAAGGCAAAATCTGCAGTTTTTTGAGGGGAGTTTTTTTAGGCACATCCATTTCTTTAAAGCAAGCTTCAGAATGATATTCCAGTTTGTTCTTCATGACACCTGTTTAAGTCTTTCTTCCAAAAAAATAAAAAGGAAAACAAACGAAAATACATCCCATCAAGTGTAAAACAGGGAGTCTCCTGTCCCAGGAAGTGAGGTTTTCAGTTATGGCGTGTCCGTCCTTTTTTTATTCTTGCAGGTTTTGGTTTGGGGATGTATTGATTATTCGCTTGGTACTCAAGTTCTTTCCGGAAGTAGTGAATTGCTTTATTTAAACCTTCTTCCAGTGGGACCTATTTAAAGAGAAAGTGAGAATGAGAGACAAGGTCACAGTAATGGAAAGTCTTTCTTGAAAGAAAGTAATAGCTTGTCCTTGCAGCTTCACAACAGAAGGAAATTTAGATTGAATTGTGTCCCTCAGAACTAAGTGTTAGAATCCTAACTCTGACTCCTTGGCACATAACAACAACATACCTGTGGGTGTAATCCCATTTGGGTGCAGAGTTGGCTTTGTTATGTTAATGAGGCCTATCATAGTAGGGTGTGTCCTAAACCAATCCCTTCTGAGATATTAAATTAGGCACAGGAGGAGGCAGACAGGAGAGAAGACACACATGCTCTCTGAAGACCTCAATATACCCATCTTGAGGATGGAAGGGGCAAGATGGAGCAGGAAGCAGGCCAGTGGGGCTCAGTGACGGAGGGTGGGACCAATGCTGGCTGAGGTGGAGAGAGAGAAGCAGTCACACATCTCAGTGGTCTTGTAGGCTAAGGCATCAGATTTGATTTAAGAACCAATAGGAAGATATGAAAGGTGGTTCACTTTTCTCCTGGCCCTTGAGTCTCCCTCATATTCAAGATGGTGTTCCACCTGGGTAATTCACTAAGATTGTAAAGCATGAAAGATTAGGGTCTTAGGAAGTTTGTTCACCCCATCATTCCACCTAACCTTGAGTGGCCAGACACATCATGAGTTGTCTAGAGACAGGCAGGACCAACAGGGAATAGAGGATCTGAATGCACTCTGCCCTTGATATTGCTGTCACGGGGTTAAACCATGCATGTGATTTCATTAAAAACAGAGCCAACAGTGGACCAAAGCCATTTCCCTAGTCACAGAGAATGAGATACAAACAATACACAAAAAACTATTTAATGGCATGGAGAATACTCTGCCTGCCCTGAATGCCTGAGCCCCGCTCACTCCAGAAGGGACTCCCCAAAAGGACACAGAATATGAGTGGTGGGGAGACCATTTTCCACAGACAGCAGTAACTCAGCTTCACTTACCACAGGCTCCCATCCCAGCATAAGCTTTGCTTTCTTGATATCTGGTTTCCTTTTCTGTGGGTCATCCTGGGCTTCAGAAAGAAACTGAATTTCACTTCCACTACCTGAGTTGTTTTTTTTTAAAAAACAAAACAAAACACAAACAAACAGTGAGAGACATCACAAACATCTGGGATGTAAACTTTCCCCATCTACCAGCAAAATGAAAGTCTAGTCTATAGAGTGAATTAAGGGTACAGATTACATACATGTATATCTATCTAATGAAGCCATTTAGCCACACTAGGGACTGTTCTCCTTAAAAGTCCAGGGAACATGTCTTAACAACCAGGGCCAAGTCTCACTTGGGTGCAGGTGACTCAGGTTTATGTCTAGCTCCATGAGAACTTGGTAAGTGGGGCATATTATTCTGGCACTAGAAGCCTGAGTTTATCTTCCTGTAAAGTGAGAGGACCTGCCCTACACCACTGCCTCAAAGGGAGGAGAATATAGTCAGTGAACAAATGCAGAAGTACCCACTAGATAAAAATCCAAAGTAGATGAAAATGGCTGATGTGGTGTGTGGTCATCAGTTACATCCACAGCCCCTAATAATCACAACTCCTGGTGTTCCTGCTCTTGTGGAGTCCCCTCCTCTGGAATCTCACCTGACCTTTAACTTGTTTAATCCCAAAGAATGCAGTGGATAACGACCCTGTGCCAGTTCTGAGCCTGCACCTTGTAAGACCCAGCCACTCATGGTTCTTTTTGAGCCCTGAACCAACATGCCAGACGTCCAGCTACCCTGATGGAGAGAACACACAGACAGCCAGAGAGAGTAGCCTGCTGTCCAGTATCCCAGGTGAGCCCAGATGCCTGCTGGCCTGCCAGACCCCTAATGGCCTGTCACTTGAATGAATCCACATCTAGAGACCACTGGCAAGACCAGTGGAAGAAACTCCTAGCTAAGGTGGCCAGCCCTGATCACAAAGTCTTGACCAAATAAAAATGATTTTGTTTTAAGCCCCTGTGGTATGGGAAGGTTTGTTGTACAGCAATTAAAAGAAACATAATGGTTATCCTGTGTTCTACTTATGATTCAGATTCACATTCTCAAAATGTTAACGTGCACTGCACATGGAGGATCTGGACAAAACACAAATTCTGATTCTGCAGGCCTGGGATAGGGCCCGAGATCCTGTGTCTCTAACCTGCTCCCAGAGCAAGGTGGGGTCACTCTCTCGTACTCTCTGAAATTCTATGCTCAGCATTCACACACCAAGCAAACAAGCCAGTGTTTGGAAATCCAATCATTTTTGCCCACAATGAATGATCTAACACAGTCACTTCTCAAACATGAGGAACAAATCTACTCTTGCCACTCTACACAGACCTGCAATTATAATCATGAACAAAACCAATTCCCCATTGTCATTATCTTTCCTTTACTTAATTAAAGAATCAGAAAACAATTAAGTGTTCCTGATAAAAAGTTGTGCATTTATCCAATTCAATTAGCTTGCATTAATTACACATTTTCTAGTCAAGGTGTTATCAACTGATAGGGTAAGCGCAGGCTGGATTTCACACATGAAATGATTCATCCTACTTACCAACAAGGTTTTTAATTAACTGAGCAAATTCTAGGATCGTGTGTTCTTCTGGGTTCCCCTAAGGAAGAAAGGTTTCTGGTTATAAGTGTAATTAAAACAACAACAACAAAAACAACATTGATGTGTTAGAAGATATTGTCGCTGATATCTTAAGAAGTCACCAGACTGTCTGGCTTCCCTGCATACTTTTACTGGAGCTTCAAGTTTCACTGTGCTCTGAACTCTTCAAAATGATGTTTACTCAACCTGGCAAAATGCTAACCGTACTTATCTTTACCATTGTCCTTCAGACTAATGATCATTTTTGCAAGAATATAAGTTAATATCTAATGAGAACATACATTCACTAGTTTAATTATCAGGACAATTTCCCTGATACAACCGTAACTTCATTGGCACTTTGCATAAAAGTTTGGATATACAACATTAGCTCCTCTATGAAAGGTATTTCCTTCTTGGTGTACTATGTTGACAATTTAAATTAATGCAAACTTGCACATGTAATAGAAATGAAATACACTAATAATAAATGTTCTGAGTAAGCCAGAGTACCATACTTGATACATTTTATAAGGTGAACTTACTTTCGTTGGGCCACCACTCATCAGTTTGTTGTACTGTACTGGCTTGCATGTTAGTTACTATGATGCTGGAACCTATGCCACCAGTATTTCAAATACCAGAAGGGTCACCCATGGTCAACAGGTTTCAGTGGAGCTTCCAAACTAGGACAGACTAGGAAGAAAGGTCTGGTAATCTACTGAATTACTGAATCTGAAAATGAGCCAACAAAAATCCTATGGATCATTAGATACTGTCTGAAACTTTGACTCACTTATTTTGGACACATCATCAGGAAGGACTGACTGACTGCTAGAGGGGAGGGTCAGCAAGGGCTAGGGAAACCTTCAACAAGATGGACTGATGTGATGGCTGCAACAATGATATCAAACATATCAATGACCATGAAGATGGAACAGATTTGGCAATGTTTTGTTCTGTTACACGTAAGGTCACCATGTATCAGAGACCCTCTACAGCAATTAACAGGAACTTGTGTAGAGGATGGGGGAAGCTTTAAAGAAAAACATTTTCCCTTTTTCTTTCTACTACTGCATTATTATAGCAGTCACTGGCCCACTCCCCTTCCCAATTCTATTTCTCTTATTTGTTCCCCCACCCATCATAAAGTTTGGTTTGGCAATCATACATGTATGCATATGTTATTTGTTTATTTATTTTATTATATACTATATATTATATATCCTAAGTACTCTATTGACAATTTTCTAGTTTAGTTTTAAAGCATGAAGGTAAAAGAGGCAGAAAGAGACCTGATGACCTGTGGCTAATTATGAATTCAAAGGAAGTACCGACTAGCAACGTATAGCAGGGATAGGAATTTTTGGGGAAAGTGGCCCAATTTTTATTAGAGCTCCTGGCAGACAGAAGCTTCACATCTTAGGGAAGATGGGTTTGTAAAAGAGATGGGAGTCCTCAAATGTCCCTGTGCTAAGGCCCTCCAAAATGAGAAAAGGAGGAATGTGGTATCTAAATAAAATAGTGTGGCTGCTCAGGGAGATCACTGTAAATGTGCACCTTTTAAAGGGCATGTAGCAAAAACGCAAGGGTAATAAGGATGACACAGGCCTTTAAAATGGCAAATGCTCAAAATGAATGGAGACTTGTAAGACAAGTTTTGTTTGGTTTTTAAATTTGCATTTAAAAATAAGCTTTGTCCAATAGTCCATCAAAGCAGCACTGGGCTGATACATGCAGCCTATCATGTGGCCACGCTCCCATTAGGGAGTGACTGCTACAGGAGCCTTGTCTTCCTACCAAGTAAGAATTTCCCACCAATGCAATGACAAATGAATGACATCAAATGTGCTTAAGACTACTGGTTGCAAAGAAATGTACAAATAAAGGTTTCTGGTTGAAGTGATATGGAAGAAGTAAGCAGGCAAGGCCACATCTATGAACTTGTAAATGTTCCAACATTAGAAGCAGTAGAGATGGTCGAGGAGAAGCTCTTGAAATAGACTTCAAGGTTTAGTCACCAATTAGTTTGAGGTGAGGCAGTATTAAACAAACTCCCTATAGCACTAATGGGCTCTAGTGTTTTGCCAATGACAGAAGCAGAATATCTAGTATAGTGAAAAATACAACCCTGGACACCTCATATTTTAAGAGAGAGAAGACAGGGCCAACAGTGCAATGGAACCCCAACATGACCCGATTCCTGCCTAAAAGAGTTCGATAGAGAAAATTTGGGACAATACCCTTCAAATCCTTAGAAAGCTATCACATCACAGAAGTATTAGACTAGTTCCTAATGGGCCCTGGATGGAGAAATAGGTCAATGAGGAAGAAGTGCATAGTGTAAGACTTGAGTTCAACATAAGGAGGAACTTTCTGCCAGTCAGAATTGATCAAAGATGGAATCAAGTGTTTTGAGGAGAAGCAAGTTCACTAGCACTGAAAGTGTTCAGGCTGAATGAGAGACGGGGCAAAACAACTTTAAGATCATTTCCCAACATGGAGGTTCTGTGGCTGCAAAAGGCAATGATGAGAAAAGAAGGTACTTTGTATAGCTGAATTACAGATGCAACCATTAACTCGAAAACTTTCTTTCTTAACCACATCTATTTTCTAAAAACTCATTTAATCAAGTCTTATAAAGCTTACTTGCCCATTAAATAACGTAAGATGAAAGCATTGCATGTAAAAAACGGTGCACTTACTACCAAAAAGGGCTTTATGAGTTTATGGGCCCTTCAGATGGAGGGAGTCAGCTTAGTGTTTATGATGTTTCTCATTAATGTCTTGGAGACTTTTTTTTTTTTTTGGCATACTCCTTTTTCCTCTCTAGTATTGAGCAAACAACAAATATACACGTGCAAATAGTGCTGATGGCCAATCAAGAAAAGCCTGGTGCTCCTCAGGGTTTCATAAAGGGATCAAATGCTCACCTGTTCTGGAGAGAGTGCGAGAGGAAATAAAGTACTCACCAGGTTGACAGGGCTGCTGACATTGCTGTTCATCAGAGCCACAAGCCCATTCACGAGATCGCTGGAAAAGAAGGAAAAGCCAGCTCAAGTGCTGTCGGCTTAACACACGTTTGTGCTCTGCACCAGATGCAAGCCGTGAGTAAGTTATCCACTCTCCCAGAATAAAACAAAAAGGAAAACCCCAACTGAAAACTGAATGTCAATATAAAATCCTACAAGTTCAGATGGTGTTTATAATGCTAAAGTATTTATGGATGAGATGATATGATGCCTAGGGTTTGCTTTCTGTGGGTGAGGGTGCAGATGAAACAAGATTGAAGGTGAGTGAGAGGGGCTGATTTCTCAACTTTTGTGTATTTCTGAACTATGACAACTGTTAAGATAGAAAAACAAATTAAAATATGCATACACACAAAAAGATGGAGTTTATACAAGTTTCTCATTGAGGTCCATGTTTAATATGAAGCCAAGGACCTGGCCCACATGAAATCAGAAGATCAAAAATAATAAGATCCATTGAGATGAAAGAACTTCAGTACATAAGCCCCAAACTGACAAACCACAAATAAAGCCAAACAACACTGATTGTTAAAATAAACTGGAACATTACTCCCTACTTCCCTAGCCTTTAATTCACACCCCACCCCCTAAATCACCTCATATGAAACCGTTGGGGATATCTGGATGTTTCAAATGGATTGTGATTGACTGGGCCATGAGGGTGAAGATAAGTAAGCAAATTTTCGCTTACCAAGGTTTGGTTCTTATTTTCAGAAGCTTTAAAGTGTGGCTCTGTTAAAAAAAAGTTACTTCGTAAAAATGACACCTCACTGCTACACGCAAACATTTTCTCTATTGTCTATTTTAATCAGCTCTGTTTCTTCAAAAACTTCAAAATGTCTCTCCTGGTGATCCAAATGAAATAAAGCTGAAAATGTCTCCCTCCTCCTCCAACCATCATTACCAGAGAGGAGCAGGTTATTATGGGTTATAATAAACTTTCAAAAGACAACCTGTGATGATTTTGGTTTCCTTCTAATTAAAAAACCAAAAAACTTTTGGAGGGGTATTTAGTAAACAAACTCTCTGTCTTGTCATTGGGAACAAATGAGTCCTTTATATGAACATGCTCACAGTGTTCTCTTCTCACACATCAAGCACAAATGCATGTAACTGCTGGCCCTTGATGGTTTTTCTTTTCTAGAAACTGGCAAAAAGTCACTTCATCACTATGGCAGTGATCATTAAGTCCCAATACATTCTCTTATGGCATGTGTCTGTGTATTATCCATAAAAAGACATTAAAAGCTGCCATTCCGTAGCATTCGTAACATTTTTTAATATTGAAACTAGAAGGAATTGACATTAAATTGGAAGATGACTGACTCTTATGAAGTCATTTCCATTGGGGGAGGACAGTGGGGGCAAGTTGGGCATCTTTTAGATAATAAACTGGCAACTTTTAAGGTCAAAATTGTATTAGATTACACTCATTTAACCTGAAGCTCTTGAAAAGTGTCATTTTGACAAAGTGACTTTTGAAAAACAAAACAAAACACAGCATGCCTTTCTTATGCAAATGAGGACATAACCTGACCGTGAAAATATCAAAGAGAGTCATGCCGACATGTCAATGCATATGATCACCCAGACTTCAGAAACCTGGAAATGCCGTATTAAGGCAGGCATGGATTTTGGCAAGTATTCATTTTGTAGTTGCTAACTACAAATTCAGACATATTTGTGCATTTTCACTGTGAAGTAAAAGATGCTCAGTTTCTAAAAAATAGGGTTATTAAAAACAGCAAAACTTTGGTAAAGTAATTATCTCAGTTAACTCTTGACTAACGCTGTATACTGGGAGAGTATCCAGGACCTGAGTTTGGTAAAATATTGATGCCTCATTATTTCAAACTCCATGAACATGAAACTCACATGAGAATATCATCAGCATGGGCAGAACACATAACTTTGCATTATTAATGAAAACGGGGTTTTCTAAGAGGATTATTAACAGTATCTCTTGTGCAACTACTTGAGCTCTCTTCCTGTGGTTTGTTTTTGTGTGTGTGTGATGTGGTTGTGCCTGTGAACTGTACCACTAAAGCAGGCCTGCTACTGTGGGCACGTTGTGTCCTGAGCTGGGAGAACGCTCGGCAACTTCAATGATACTGAAGTTTTAAAATAATTTAAGTTTCAAAATCTTTTAATCACTAGCACCAAAAAGCAACTAAAGCTATTTTTCAAAAAACTGTATTTGATGCCTTTGAAGTAAGAGTAAGAACTGATTCAAAGTAGCTTCCCTACTATTATACGAATTTTCATTAGGATGTTGGTGGTGTTGACATTAGAAAAACTTGGGGGGGCATTGATAAATGTAGTTCAAGGCATCTCAGTGTAAATGAAGACTGCAAGACTGCCTACAAAAAGTACATGGATTACAGGTGGGTGAAGTAGGGTGGATGAAAGCATATTATTATGAAAAGATGGTACTCAATACACAGATGTCCCATTAATATAGTCCAGTACAGAAACACATCACGATAATCACAACTTTCTCAAAGCACATGGTCCTGCATTAAGTGCTTTGAAGTATAAGTGAGGTCTGAAGGAAAAAAACAATCCCAGAGGAGGATCGGGGCCATATGCTGGTTAAATCATTCTTAGAATACTGTTTTCCTATGTGAGCAAAGAAGTGGGCTAGTTATATTACACTTCTGGGCTTTTGGCCTTGCTTCATGATAATGATAAAAACAACAACAACAACAACAGCAAAAAACCCCACCAAACTCACTGCTGTCAAATCAGATCTGACTCACAGTGAGGTTTTAGTTTGGTATCATTATGGAAGTAGATTGCCCAATCTTCCGAGGAGTGGCTGGTAGATTTGAACCACCAGCTTTCTGGTTAGCAGTTGAATGCCTTAGGCTCCATACCACCAGAGCTTCCAAGATAATGAGAGGTAGGAAGAAAAAGCACTGACCATTATATATATTTACTCACACCTTAAAAAAAAAAAAAACACTAAAAGTGAAGTGTAAGAATATTTTCAAGAAGAATTAACAGTACTTATTTTTGTTCCTTTTTTTTTTTTTTTTTTCTTACCAGTGGCTTCATTTCTCAAAGGGACTTCCATCCAGAGCCCTCACAAATCAGATGTAAGTATATAAAGTTGTTTTGCTTGAACAGGGCAAATGGAGGTGGTGGTGGGGGTCTTCCCAGACCTGTACCCCCTTATCTACTACTCATCCTTACAGTGTTCCCAGGATGTCTCTCAGACACCAAGAGCAGCATTTCCCAATTGATGGGAACTCCAGGGTATTTGTATTAAAGAGTGAAAACATATGGTACCAAAATACAGAATCGGATCTTACAGTGATTTAGGGCACCAAAAACATTCACAGAATTTATAATAACCAGGCAATACTAGAAAGTACTTTGCTATATCCAACTGTTTATATGCTGTATTTCTCAGAACCCAAACTACATTTAAAATTACTTCCCAAATGAATTGATCCACACAATAGTAGCATTTTAAGTATTTCCAAGAAAACAATAAAAATCACCAAACTTTAAAAAAGTTCTTCAAATATATTTTAATCTGCATTTAGTTGCAACACAAAGCATGACGATTTTGAACGTTCTATCTTACCCCAATATCCTTAATGAGGGCAACCTCATCCACCTCAGAAAGCCATGTTTGAAACAGGTCAGATATGGGATTTGTAGGTTTGCTGGGTACTTAAGGTCATCTCTTAAATCTGCTTGTTCTAAAATCACTCAAGTCACCCTCAGAGCTGAGCATATTTACCTATGAAACACTAGGTGGCAGTAAGAGATAAGCTATGAGTCTTTGGAAGCTGGACCACGAACTGCTATAACTAACCTGGCTTTAGTATATGGATATGAATGTAAGTTTTCACGGTTAAACAGCGATCTACAAGAGCTTTTCCATCTGATGATGATGACTGACTTTTAAGCAAACCAAATTACTAGTCATAAAAACAATAAATTAACTGATAAAACAGAAATTAGGCTGTTAAGTCTATGGACTTCTGTCTCCAAATCACTGCTCAGGCTAAGTTAACATCCATCAGGGTGTGCATAACACCATACAGACAGAGCAAATGTGTCTTACCTCACGTACTGGAATGCTCTCGTCTGAGATCCAGATCCATATACCTAGAAGGAAACTAAAAGTTAGGTCTCCTAAAAAAAAAATAACACACATACCATTTACCAGAAAACAGAGCTTCTTAAAATTCCAGGGAGAAAGACTGATCTCAAAATTGATATTCAAAGGTGAGCTGGTGCTGACTGGAAGGGTCTTGATGTACAACTCACTCTTTGTACTTCAAAATTATGCCCTAACAGTGAGAAGGTGGAAGAAGTATCTAGTAAATGTGTATGTGCATGTGAAGTCCTCTCTCAAATACACTGTCTGAAAGAATGGCTTATATTAGAATCTTAGTGTCAGGCATTACATCAGATTCCGGGGAATGTGATTCTAGAGTCTAGTTAGGGTGACAGACTCACATACAAATAGTAATCAATACACTTAACCAGGGGTTCTCAACTCTGGCTGCTCATGAGAACCAGCTGGGTGCTCAGCTCTGGACAATTCCATACAATCTCTGGAGATGGGGTCCAGGCATTTTTCTCTATTTTTAAATCTAGCTTGCCAAGTGATTCTAACCTGCAACCAAGGTTGAAAACCACCACAAGAAATTCTGGCTCTAAAAGAAAGAGGTGGCAGGAAGTAGGGCGTGGCCACACAATCTACTTAGTGCCCACTCTATGTTTCCATACCTCCATGTCTTCTTCATTCATGCTTTTTCCTCTGCCTGCTATAAGTTCATTCATTTGCTTTTCCTCCTAGCAAAATGTTACTCATCTTTTAAGGACCAGCTCAAATGTCACCTCCTTGTAAAGCTGATTCGCCAAGGAGAAAATGAACTGCTGGCCTCAGTGCTCAAGTCCTTTCCTCATCTTCTACCCTATATCACTCATGCCCATCTTTCCCCACCCCTGGCCTGAGCTTTCTGAGGACAGACCTGTGTCTGACTCATCTTGGCGGTACTGGTGCCCAGCACAGTGCCTGAACAAACACCTTGTAGATTCTGTAGTTGAGACCACTTAATGAGAACAAAGAAACTGAAACAGCAGGATCCTCTGAGAGACTGCTAACCCTAGTTAGAGTGAACAGACACATTAGAAGTCTCTCTTGCTTGTGACAGAAAGAAGGTAGCTGTGAAGAGAGACTGCTTTCTAAATCTCATTTTAACAATTTTGGCCTCTCCTCTCACTGGTCACTTGCCAGCAAAGAGGAGTCAGTAGTCAGCTATGGACAGCACCTGGCCCATAGGCTTTATCTCCCAACACAGCTTCCGAGAGATCATCCTACCGGATGTGAGAAGAGTAAGAAGGAAAGCATGCCTCCCATATCCTGAATGATTTTTTCTCCCACAACAGCTGAAGGCTTACAAGGCTGTTTTTGCTCTTTTCATAATTACATATATATGCCAACTGCATAGGTAAATTGGTGCTACCTATTTAGATTGTACTCTTAAGGGGAAGGCCACACAATGAGAAGGGGGCGGGGAATACACATTTATGGTGGTTTCCGTCTTTAAGACATAGAAAGGAACCTGCAGCAGCAAATCTCAGGAAAGGAGAATTGAGAAAAGATGTAGGTGGCCTCTCAGAAACAGACCTGCATTTTCTCAAAAGTTCTGTCTGAATCCAATTCTTCAGCCTCACTGAAACTGATGATACATTTGGGCAAGGCAGAAAGCAAGCAATAGGTCTGATCAAATAAAAGACAGACTTCAATCATACCACATTGCCAGTTCTAGCATTCTAGAAATCCACTCTCCATCCTGGTGGTACACTCTAAATTTAACTCTTTATTTTTTAACAATTTTATTTTAGAGATAAGGTCACTAAAGGTCAGTAGAGTGACTTACACCCCACCGAGTAAAACCAATCTTGACTCCCAGTTCAGTATTCTCTTCCCTACCCCACTGCATCCATTATTACAGAACTGCTTGCAGTTCTGCTTGCCAACTATGGCTTGCAAGCTGGCACTGGCTGTTGTCCTATTTCACAATCCTGCGGGTACCAGATTTAGGCAGGACTCTTTAATTCAAGCTACAGAACTCCCTAGTGGGCTTCATGGATAGGCCTGTGGTGTGCTGCTATCCTTCTGTTCATGTGCATATGTACTTGTCATTCTTGAGTTTGCTCAGTCAACACTGAAGGTGTACAGACATACCTCCGTGTATTTTATATGCATCTTCCAGCCATATTCAGTTAGGCTTACTGGCAATAAGGGGTCTCCTGGTATGTTCTGGAATGCTCAGACAACTTATTGCATATGCAGAGTACTAACAGTATTCGACAACGTCAGCAGAAGGCCTGGTCTTCAGTCCAATCTAAAGCTCAGCAGGACCCCTCAGCATTGCACCATTTCACAGAGCCGAGTTCACATGAGAAAAGCCAACAGCAACTTTTCGTCCCACTTCAACCTGCTGATCTCCTAGTACTGGAAGGAAACAACCCAGGACCTTGACTGGGATTGGCTGAGCGGGGCTGTCAAAAAATCCTGGCAAGCACTGGTCAATGAAATGAAAAAGGGAATTGTAATGTAGACACTCAGTAGCCTGAATTTCACTAATTCCAAAGGGAGATTTAGAGTTACAAACTGCAAAGTCCAAAAAGGCTACTAAAGACCAAAATAACCTGCATTTGTTGTGTACTACCCATGGCTACCTCATTCACAGTGCCTTCAGGTGGGACAGTCACAGTCAGGAGGTCAGGACGTCTTTAGAGACTGAAATGCAGGCACAACTCTCTCACATGACTCCTTCAGGGCCCTCTTCCCTCAGGATGCACCCAACCTAGCTGGCACTATCTTGGAGGTGTCCTCAAGGCTTGGAAAGTTGGGAGCACTGCCACAGATACCACACACGTGTGAGGAAACCCAACCTACTCTCCTAAGGTCCAATGATAAAAGCCCTCTGGTAGCCCCTCTCCTCCAGTCATCCGTGTGCTAAATTTCTACTGAAGATCTGCTTGATGTCCCTGTGGCAACTCGGTTAGGGGAAAGGGTAGTCCCCATCACAGGAGGAGACAATGGGGAAAGGGAACTCGTTTTGCCCAGGGCTGTGGCAGGAATATGCAGATCCATGGACTGCCAGTGCACAACTGCCAGGGGCTTTGCTTATGATGCAGCCTATGAAGGCATGCTCCAGGGTTTGCATTTAGTTAAGGTGCAACATGAATGGTGCCCCCTGGTGTTGGGTACCAAGGACTCTTCCTCCCTGGAATCCTTAGAAAGTGATGTTGGATTTTAGTTTCTATAGTTTCCAAAAATAAAACAAAACTCACTGCCATCGAGTCAGATCCGACTCATAGCTACCCTCCTTGGGTTTCCGAGGCGGTATCACTATGGAAGTAGACTGCCTGCCCAGTCTTCCCTCTGAGAAGTGGCTGGTGGGTTTGAACCACCAGCCTTCTGGTTAGCAGTCAAGTGCCTTAGCCTATATATACCACTAAAAAGGAGCCCCGGTAGTGTGGTGGTTCAAGCCATCAGCTGCTAACTGAAAGGTCTGCACTTGGAAACCACCAGCTACTCCACAAGAGAAAGATGAGGCAGTTTGCTTCTGTAAAGATTTACAACCTTGGAAACCCTGTGGAGAGGTTCTACTCTGTCTTACAGGGTTGATAAGAGTCAGAAGAGACTCACCGGCAGTGGGTTTGGTTTGGTTTTTGAAGATACAACAGTATTAAGAATGGTTATCATACCAACTTTGAATTGGCCTTAAAAGAATGGTTTCTTCAAAATCTCTCTTTGGGAAAAAACAGCAAGGTTTTCAAAAAGAGAGAGACCTGGATTCAAACCCCAGGTCTGCTACATCCTGGCTGGCCCTGGACAGCTTCATCTCAATGCAGTTGTTTTCTCATTTATCAACTGGAATAAATTACAATAATATGGCAAACAGAATTAAACCCTACTGTGAATGTGTGTGCACGTGTGTATATTTTAACCCAATAAATAAGCTTCATCTGAACCATACTCATTTATTTTTTAAATCTACTAAAAGGGAACAAAATATTTTCTGAGCTGCTATTTCATTCAACTTAAATAAAATAAAACTTCAGTGTATGACTTACTGAGTCAAGGAATATACTGCAAGTTTGCTAACAGGTATCTGATATGGCAGGGACTCAAGAGGCTAAGATGTGCCAAAAGAATTAGCTTTGCTAGGGGCTAAGACAACAAAGGGCTTCTGAAAAAGCAGCTGGAACGTAAGAGAACCTTAACCCAGTTTGGAAAAGGAAAGCCCACATACTGAGCCGTTTCCAGTGACCACAAAAGAGATCGTTAGTGTTATAAATTATATGTTAGAAAAACAGGAGAAAAGGAAAAAAAAAAAAAGAAAAAAGACAGACATCTCTTTATTTCTCTTCTTAAAAAAACAAAGTAATCTCCAAGGTGGGCAGGGTTGGGAGAGTCATGAAGTATGATCCTTCCCACAAGACTCCTCTAGACAATCATCTGGGAAAAGCTTACAAAAGAAAGAAATAGTCATTCTATTCTCAGAAATGGATAAAAAGGTTAGCAATTTCATCAAATTATTGATGGGAAAATATTCTGTGAGATAAAAGGAGAAGAAAACACATTCTAAAGGCTTCCCTAGGGACTTGTCCCTCCTTCCACCAGAGGTGTCTAGAAAAGACTAAACTACAGCATGTTTTGGAATTATTGCACTCATAGATGGCACCAGTGATCTTTTTACTTCTATCACTGGCACAGAAGCTTGCCTGGCATGAAGACAACACATTAATTATGACTCTCTGCCAATAATACATTTATTCTTGTGGCAGGCCAGGGGACTTGCTCTCCTACCTACCACTAGGGCCCTGGCTATTGCCAAGGCTGTAATAAATCAAGAAGTTCTTAGAAGCTTTTAACAGTTTACAAACAAAGCAGCTCTGATCTCATGATGTAAGGAAGTGTTACTGAGTACAGCAGCTAAAAAAAGCAGCAGGGATATCACTGAGGATGAGAAAATCTCAACAAAGCAACTAGATTGGGGGGGATCTCAGTTCTCCAGAACCTTGTTGTTGTTATGTGCCGTCAAGTCGGACCCGACTCATAGCGACCCCTCCTTGGGTTT